CATGAGAGTACATTTCTTTTGATAATCATTTTCTGTATAAACCTATACATCATTCTCATCGTCAACGAATCGCAATCTAGAATCGAAGACAAGACGACCATCGACCAATAAACATTCAAAAAAGACACAGAATACGATCATGTTGATGAAGATGATGAAAGCAGGCATAGTTATTTTCGTATCTTTAATTTCGGTAGTTCAAATGGAAAAAGTTAAAATTTCAATTAATCTTTCAAATCGACAACCAGAAAAACCAACGTATTTAAAATCCACCAACAAAGAACGACTTGATAAACCACTGACATCTTTGAAAGTGGTAACGAACGGGCGATGCGCAGCTACCTGCACAGTGACTCCAGATTGCACTTCGTATAATTTGCGGATGATAGACGACAAGATATACAGAGCAGTTTGCGAATTAAATTGGTACAGCGCATCTCTTCCGACTCCTACATCTGATAAGGTGGACTATTACGAAAGAGCAGGTGAGCATTTCTTATATCTTAAATAGGCCTATATTAATTGTTTATAAAGGAGTGGTATCAATATGGTGAACTTTTTGAACACGCGCTTCTCTTAAACCGGTCATCAAAACATTTTGAAAATTTTACACATCGTCAATTTAATGGTCATCTTTTGGATGGTAACATTATTATTTGAAACATACATGTATATATATTCCTTTCTCTATATTGTTTTAGAAAACTCATCAGACAATTCTTTTGGTCTTGGTATCATATGTTCGGAATGAAATGAAACATCTATCCGAACTCATTGGAACAAAACGATATAAACACAATTTGTGTTTAGGTCTCTCAATATTGTAATTGTACAAAGGAAAGTTTGGTTGATTTAAAAAAAAAGTATCTTGTTAATGAAATAAAATGTTTATCTTAATTTTTATCTATTTTGGGGGGGGGGTTGTTTTAAGTTTTTGCATACATTTTGTAAAATCAACCAAACTTTTCTTTGTATAACTGTAATATTGAGAGGTCTAAGAAAATTTTGTATATGCTATTTTGTTCCATCAAGGTTCGGAAAGACATTTAATTTCATTCTCAAGAATTGGTAGAAAGGAACAAAAAACAATTGAACCAAAAACAAAACAATGTTAACAAAACCAGTTATATAAAATATAAATAATGATATAAATATTTTTTGCATTAAATTGTTGCCAATCAGTCAACATTACATAAAGGACCGTGTTTTTTACAGCATTTTTCAATAATTGGTTTAAGAGAAAAACATTTATTCAGATCACCATATCGATACCTATACTTTTAAGTTTCAAATGTTCAAACTCCGAAGGAGTAGGTTCGAAACCCGGCAGAATCATTTTATTTTATTTTTTAACCATCCACGATACATTTCTTGATTTCTTTTTAGATCACACTCTCATGTTCACGCCCGGTGATCGTACAAAAATGATGGAGGGGGGATTAGGCGATTTCTGCAAGAAAACTCAACAAATTAGGAAGATTTATTTTTCAAGAGAAAATTTACAACTGAATTGCCAAATGAATAGGCACAGTGCATGGCAAAATATGTTAGGTCATCTCGTTTTTTTTTGAACTGATACCCTTTTAAGATATGAGATCTATTAAAAAAGGTGCATCATCACCAAAGTGCAAAAGTCAATGTTTTTGCTATAAATCGGGCAACAATGGTCTACACGACCTGTAATTAATAGGTATAAGGGACGTTATTATCACAATACTTATGACATTGCTCACTTCTTAAATTCAGTTTCCATGCGTTATACAAAAAAATAATCGAAATAAATTAATTTGGGATGGAGGGGGGGATCGGATGGAGGGGGGATTTATATATCTTTACGATGGAACAAATTCACAAGAACTCGTGTATTTGAAAAAACTAAACTCCGTACGCCAGTAAGAAACTGGATATTATATCTCTGGAGAATGAAAAATGGGAAAATTTGGAGTCATAAGAATAAATTCAAGTAGCATGTCTTATCATATCTTATATACACGTGAGCCCCCCCCTCCATCCCAAATTAATTTATTTCGATAATTTTTTGTATAACACATGGAAACTAACTTTAAAAAGTGAGCAATGTCATTAGTATTAGTAACGTCCCTTATACCTATTTATTACAGGTCGTGTAGACCATTGTTGCCCTATTTATAGCAAAAACATTGACTTTTGCACGTTGGTGATGATGCGCCTTTTTTAATAGATCTCATATCTTAAAACGGTATCAGTTCAAAAAAAATACTAGATGACCTAACATATTTTGCCATGCACTGCGTCTATTCATTTGGCAATTCAGTTGTAAATTTTCTCTTGAAAAAATAAATCTTCCTAATTTGTTGAGTTTTCTTGCAGAAATCGCCTAATCCCCCCTCCATCATTTTTGTGCGATCACCGGGCGTGATGGTGATCTATCAAGACATTTTTGGCAATATATTACATCATTGCTAGAAATTGTGTTTATTTGATTGGTCGAGTCAGTACCATGTGATCAAAAATACCATAACGTATTTCACAGCTCCCTCAATTTTGGGATAATAAAAGACGTATTGCCCGGCGTATTGCCCGCCCGGGAATTCTGAACACTACACTGGACGAAAATAAAGTGTACCATTCAATGATGACTTGTACGTAATTATGTTCACTGACTTATGGATAAATGATATATTGATTGATTAAAATAAATGATCATAGGGAATGTCTAGCAATGATATAATAAAACAAATATTTCATTCTATGTTCGGGCAATACCTGTTGCACTTTCAATGATTTTTGCATCATGTATTTCCCTCGCCCTACGGGCTGCGGGCAATACATACTGCAAAAATCATTGAAAGATGAACAGGTATTGCCCTCCATAGAATGAAATATTTGCTTATTATATACAATGTAATAATAATCATGTCATGCATCTCATGATCACCTCTTGTCTTTGTTGGGTTCATTGAAAAAAAGTTTTTAAAATTTATATCAGGTAAGGATTTCCCCATTGTACCTTACGTCTGGGATAGGGTATCATAGCAAAAACGATTTATATACATGTACATGATCATGTGAGCCGGATTTGCTCTGAAATCAACTCTTGTATCTTAAAGATTCTCGCAATCTTTATCCAATCATCGTTTGCGAGTGTGTCGGCTCACGTATAAAAGGCGAATCCAACTCAAATCCATGCAGGGGTGTATGAGGTACTCGAATACGAAAGAGCTCGAGAAATCTGAATTTATATGCACATGGTCAATGTTTACACATGTTTGGAGTTATTGAAGAAAATGTTATATGGGTGTGGTTCCGAATTTGAAGTCATTGCTGGAAAATATAATTTTAATACGTGAAATTATATCTATAAATACAGCACTAAAAATAACAGTACACATGAAGTACATGTGTGATTGTGTTCAGAAATGTTTGAAACCCTTACGGAAAATTCTGTCTGCATTTTGTCACCATTGCTCTTTCTTCCCGCATTCTAGTGCTGTTTGAATGAATATATTAATTAATGTATTTCTAACTAAAATATATCACACTTTTTATATAAACATTTAGATCATAAAAAAATTATTCAATACTTGAGTGAGCACGATATGCAAGAATTACTAAGTTGACACAGTAAATGACCACTGATATTGTGTTAGTCCATGCACACAGCGTAACACCCCTCACTTTCATAGTGAAGTGACTAATTGGTTTATGTTTACATTTTAATGTGTTTTGGGTTCCTTGTTTCAGCAAGGGGGGCCAGTAAAGTAGACTAACATGTTTGCATGGCAAGTTTTGATCGAATATGTGAGACACTTTAACTGGGTTTGAATTTCATTGAAAAAAAGTATTCCAGAATTAAATAATTTGTCCAGATCCTAATAAGATACTGTACAACTCTTGTATGGTTTCAGATTATATCTATTACATGCCTATGGAAGAGATACGATCACCAGACACTCTAGTAGGGTCTCGCATCACTGGTCAAATCGTGAACAACGCCAGTCTTGTTGAGGGAAGGATCGGCAATGGATTAAATTTAGATGGAATAAACCAATGGGTCGACCTAGGAAATCGAAGGACGGAATGCTTTGGTGGGTATAGCAATTATTTTTTCTAATGCATATATAAAAGTGTAGATGTATTTAAGTATCACTTGTGATGTAACGTATACTTTTTTAATCATCATTATACAATATCATAAATTAAAAACAAGAATAACAACAAATTGGAGTCAGTGTAAAAGAAATTATGGTCCCCTGGGAATTATGGTCCCCTTTCTTAAAGGCCCTTACTGGCCCTGATTGTGGATATGATATTAAGGGAAAGAGTTGTATTTAAGTCAGCATATAAATCAATGGAAAGTAGGACAATAATTTGATAGGACCTCCTACCCTTTCACACCTGTGTAAACGGGTATGAGGTCCTATTAATGTATGGTCCTACTCTCCATTGATTTATATTGTGACCTCTTTGTGCTCTTTCCCGTATTATCTTATACACAATCAGGGCCAGTAAGGGCCTTTAAAAGGGGATTATAATCCCTGGGGGACCATTATTTCTTTAGCACCGGCTTACGATTCATGAGTCACACTCCTGAATTAAGAATCATTATTTTACTTTAAAAATTTATGTGCATATTCTTCCGAGCTCGTAATTGTAAAACGTGACCTGCAAGATCAACTCTAATATGGAGTATTTTCAAAAATGCGCGGGGTTACACGTAACGGGATAGTGAATATAAGGGGGAGTCAGGTCAATAATGTATATGGATGATTGAAGATTGACAAAAAACATACGACCATTTCACGACGGTTATGTTTCCGTCAGTGCATCATGGTGTCAATGTTCATATCTTTAAATTCTGTTTTCAGGTGATTTGGACTTGTGTCCAAATGGTTACTCTCTGTCATTATGGTTAAAAATGGGGAAAACTTCTGGCAGTTTGTATTATCTCTCCAATGGTGGACAGTCAGGGTATTCGTACGGAATAGCACTAATTTTGCAGAGCAAATAATATTTTGGTGATGTTCAACACTAACACCAAGGCCTGGCAGGTACAACATCCTAGTCCAACGGCAGGTGAGTGGCACCACGTGGTGATGACGTGGCGGGATCAGACTGCGGTGACGTCAAAGCTGGCACTGTGGTGGGATGGCGTGAATGTTGCAACGGATAATTCATGTATGTAAAAATAAAATTAACAAATTAAGCTTTCAAAACGTTTGATAATATGACGCGTCATATTGGCAGATATTATTTTCCGTGGTGTGTACATGAAGCCGTATTCTGTTGCTAAAAACCTGAAATACAGAGAACAATATAGATCATAGACTAGAACCAGTGCATTGAAACATATTGACATCTTATATTTTAATGGGCAGGCAAGGCATGTTTACTAATTGAAAGGCAATGGGTTCCTTTATTGATACTGAGATTTAACAAGAGGAAATAGGTGTCAAAATGACAAAATAAAACGTATTCATTATATGAGTATGAAATATCAAACAATCCACTTTTCAGAGCTGGTTGCAAATACACTTATTAACAATTTCGAAATTATGATATTTGTTTCAAAAGATTATCATTAAAACTGGTTTTAAGAATTAACATGCAATACTTTCATGATCACTATATTTTGCATGGTCATGATAGCCAAAAACCAATGAAAACGTCGAAATGTCGTTATTTTCCAAATCTATAACCGACTATGAATTCAAAATGAACAGTCCAAAATATTTGAACCAATTTGCAATAGCTTGATCATTTCTTGTGTTTTGGAATATTTCATTTGGAAATAAGACAAAAATTCACGACAAATGTTAAAGTAAACAAAATGGCGGCTGTTTAAATTTGAATTTTGTAATCAGGACATGCCAGTATATGGCAAAAATATCAATGTTTCACTCTGCGAGCCAATCCTCCTCGGAAAATCTCAAACTGTAAAGGTTCTTCTCTGTTAGTCTTGTCTATGCGTTTTCATGCGAACCATTTGACGGATCAATATCAATATATCAATATATAGGGTTGATTCTTTGTGTGAAAATCACAAACTGATATGGTTTTAGGAATTCTGGGTAAATGTTGGTGGCCATTTTGGATTTTCCATAAAAATATTCTCTGATGAGTCTTGTTAACGTCTTTTCAGGCTATCCTTTTTATTTATATGTTTAATGATGATTCTTTGTATGACAATCTCGAACCGATTAGTTTTTTTGGCATTTTAGGTAAATGTGAAGATTTGGATTTCTTCCTAAAACCGTGTCTCTTTAACTGATTTGTGTTGGGCACTGAGGATGAAAAATCAGCAAGTTCGCCCATCGATGGGGACATGCTGTACACTTTTGTGTCCTTGCAATTTTTACGACTCCGGTCTATCAGGATAAATATAGAAAACAATTAGGCAACAAAATTTAAATAGTTGAAAAGATGAAATTTAATTGAAATTGAGAACTATAACTTAATCCATCCAGTTCAATTTAGAAACAACTTCACATGATTGCTTGCATGATTGCTTATTCATTTTTATTTTATTTTAGCGACGTCACGTAACGTCCCGACCACCATATACAACGACTTCTTGATTGGACGTCCTAACAATAACTTTCATAGTTACGGCGAAGCTGTCATTGATGAATTAATATTCTGGGATAAAGAACTCGAAGATGCTCGAATAATGAGTCTTTGGGAGTCATATAACGACAATCTTAACTTTGCAAACACTACTATTGATCAATGAACACATACGCATACGCATCGTATATTTTGAACGTATTCTTTGCAAATTGATGCCCGGGGATAACATGAGATAAGCGAAAATCTGTTGAGTTTGAAATTCAAAACTACACAAAATTTAGTAATTTGTTTATTTTTGTCGTTAGGGCATGGTCTACATTGCCTAACGACCTCGGGGTATATAGATGTAACCTACTGTCACGACCCTCGTATGGTAGCGTGGTTTTGGGGTCGTAAACAGAATACAGTCTAGGAGTCAATAGTTTGATTTGCTGTTTTCATTCACTAAGTTTCGGAACAAGTTCAAGTAAAGGTTGAAATGTGTATCCCCTATTTAATTGAACAACATCTGTGTTCACAGTATCATAAAAATGGGATGAATTTTGCGATGAAAATTTAGGGGATAAATTCTGGGATAAAGATAATTGGGATGAAGTGGGACAATATCGGGATAACAGTTACGGGATAACAATATCTGAATATAGACTAGTAAGTAAGATTTGTCAGATTTCAATGTAAGTTGTATGTCTCATTAAGGCAAATGGCAACAGACTCCAGATTCTGAATGTGCCCAGTGTTGAGTTATATCAAATAGGTAGAATGTTAGGATGTGAGTATAACCAGGTGGAAGTCCTAGCCACTGGAGGGCTACGATGGACTTCAAGCTGTATATTGAGCTCGCTGGTCACAATAAAAGTGGGAAAGTTTGTAAGAATTAAAGTTGGGCTATTTCAAATCAGGAGTCTGTCAAACTCATCAGTGAATAATATTACTTGTACTTAGAAGTAAATGATGTTTGGGGTAACGAATAGGAACCAGGGTGAATGAAATTCTCACTAATATTATCAATAAGACAAGGGTTAAATAAGAAAGTAAGATCCTGGATTGTACTTTATCTGTGCACTATTGCGTAGTTTCTGGGAAAATATATGTTTGACTTATTGCGAGTGATTGTTATTCAAAGAAGCCCTTAGCAAATATGAGCTAAGATAAAGCTTGTTGCTTGAATGTTAGTATCACTAAAGTCACCTGGAATTTAGTCGGAATCTATTTTGAATCCAGAATCTACTTTAGGTAAAATGAAAGGGGAATTTTCTAACATATGTATAAACAATCGAACACAAGAAATGATATTCTGTGGATTTTTATATAATGTATAAAAACGACTCTATTTCTATTTACTTATCTACACAATTCAGTACTGTCGAGATGGTATATCAAGTAAATAATCTCTCAAACCAAACATGCATAAAACAGCACAGTTAATGGAAGTTCAGTTAAACAATTTGCAATAAAGTCTAAAATGTGTCTTTTTCCAAAAATGTAACTCAACAGTGCAATTTTATATCATCCCTGGTGGGGTTGAAATCAGCTCTCTATACTACTCACATGAAAAGTGGAACATCATTTTTCCACTATCAGACTGTGGTACAATTGCCAAACAAATGGGAAACAGTATTTTAAAAGTATTCTAGTATCTATAATCAATGAATAAGAATGTGGTTAACACAGAATTAGACCAGACATGGAAAACTAGAAGGGGAGGGGTGTCTTAAGTCCGAAAATGGGCTTCGAGTGACCGTGATCCTTAAAAGTACTGAACTTCAAAAGGTCTGGACAGAGGCTCCAAAAGAAGCTTTAGTCTTAAAAGTGACTTCCAATGAACCTCGAAGGTACTTAATGTCTAAAAGAGTCTTAAACTAGGCTTAAAGTCTTAAATTGAGCTTCAAATGTCCTTGACCCTTAAAAGTACTTCAATGATCAGTTGTTTGATAATGGTTCCATAAGCCCGGGATTTCACCTTTAAATTACCCAGAATTTAACATACAAATATACAAAGGAGTATTGCTAGTATATTAATAAAATTTACCCCGTGAACAAACTAAATACAGACCCAAACTGGATTGGGGGGATGTCGTATAGAGGTGTCTATGAACCCCAGGAATTTGCAGTTGACTATGGTTTAGAGCAAGTTACATAAGGTTCGTAAAGACCGTAACGTTTCGTACACCCTGTCAAATATTCCTAAACGATTCCCTGTGGGGATGTTGTATAAGAGGTTTCAAGGAACCCCGGGAACTTGCTTTTGACGCTGGTTAATAAGTTACATAGGTTCTTTAAGACAAAAACTCTGCGTGTAACTTTGCGTTAACCTTGTCAAATGTCCCTTAACAATCCCAGGGACAATTTAAACATGGGATGTTCACAAGGCAAATAAATAAGATTAAGGAAAAAATCAAGTGTACAGATAATTCTTTTCAAAGACTAGAACTCTGCAAAAATACATCTTAAATCAAGTCAATTACCTTTACCAACTCGTACACCTAAGTTGGTTTATCTGTGGCAATATAAATATCCAATTTTAGTGACGATTTAATGTTTAAAATTCCACAAAATGTTTTCCATGTCTGGCCGGCTTGAATTCGAATCATAAAAGCACAGAAAAAGACAATTCACTTAAAACATGCTTATTTACTTAAATCAAGCTTAATAAGCCTCACTTTGGATTTTGCAGACAAACCCAGACAACTGCCCTTTCTAAAAAGTTTCTAACATAACATTAAACATGAAACTGGGCCTAAAACCTTCACATTAAACTCTTATTATCAACGAAATATATATGCTGACATTAATTCTGTAAATAATATTACATGAAAAATACAAGAGAAGGCCATTAACCTAAATATAAATATAGAGTAAAAAATTATTAAACTTTACGGTCAAGACAAGTAACTTAGTCAACATTCGATATTCGTATGTTCATCAATATTTGCTAAGAATGGTGCCACAATTGAAGTAAACCTCTGGTTAATTATTTTCAATAAACCTATCAGCAAACGTGTAAATGATAATTTTGATGTTCTGTTACATATTGGTGAAGCAATCTTTGGGATATGACCTAAATTTCTGATTTTCCACTGTGTCCCTGTATACCCCTACTTCAAAAGATATTTGTTATTCATCATTTTTCATTATGAACCAACCATAAATGTATTTTTTCTTGTTTACATACAGAATGAATTTTCGGTTTTCAAATATTGCAAGACGGCACTGCATTTATTTGTTCAGGATATCGAGCAAACAAATGCGTGTCAATTTACACTGTAATATCCTACATACTTATATTTCAAGGGTAGTTTTGAAGAATAATCAAGAAAATCCATGTTTTCAAATGGATTCATCCTTGTCAAAGAACGTGAATGAGGATATGCCGTTTGAAAAACTCACAACATGTTTCAAGTTCTTACAATTCTTGGTTAAAAAAAATAATTTGAAAGTTGTGATTTCGAATGTAATATCCTACTCAATGAAATTTGTTGATATTTGTGAATTTTTTCTTTCGAAATGCACATTGCTGGATAACAGAACCTTGCCATGTTCGAGATGCACGAAAAGTGTTTTGTTAATACTTGACGTCGTACGGATATTTGGATGTGATTGGCGTTTTCGTTAATCTCCTACCACTGTAATTTCCAACTTAATTTTTGGAAGCCAAATGTGATAGTCACGAATTGATATTTAAGTCACACGTTGATGCATACATCATGTGTGTACATTAACTGTCGAATACATGCCAACTTACATTTATATAAATATCCACAATTAACTCAAATCATCAATTCTCGAAACGGTTTATTATTTAACCTGGTGAATTGAATGTTTCATTTTGATTCATAATTATGGTATCGGATTTGAGTATAATATTGTATTGTATTGTATTGATTTGTTTCCTTCATTATGAAGATTTACAACATTAATAAGCAGCAATTTACATTATATCAAAATAAAATTATAATAAGAAAACTATTTATAGTATCATAGTATGTACAGATGTGTGACTTTCTTTTAAAAATATAGGTAGATGATCTGTACTACCTGTGCAGTATTATTCTAAACAAGTGTTGGTGAATCTGTACATCATCATATTGATGTATGTTGCACATATGTTAAGCAATTTTATTGATGTGGCATCATCAATTGTATGCAAAATATCGGAGCGTCCTCCAAGGAGAAATTCTAGGATTATGTCATCTTCACTGTTTAGGAGTTCACATGACTGATGCACAGAGATGCTATTTATAGCTTAATATTTTCATACATTTCATTTCTTAATGCAATTAAAAATTGACATTCTACTATCATGTGTTTGACAGTATCATTGGTGGTTCTACCGCACCTCAGACATTGCGTATTGAAATCGTCATCTGGAAGTTCCCTTGAAGCCAAATGTAGAAGTATTGCAAATGCCCATGTTTTAAGAGGATATTTCCTGCCAGCTACCCAATGTATTTAATTGTATTTAATGTAATTTAAGTTCAGTCTGAATTTGCGCAAATCTGTTTAATTTTGTATTATTGGAGAGCAAGCGTTGCCAGTTTCCAGTTTCGTTAATATTGATTTGAGCATTCACATAGCTTTTCCATTTGGCCTTCGAGGGGAATGTAAAAGATTGAAGATAGCCTGAGAATATTTCATAAAGTACTTCATACTTTGACAACACTTCAATAATATCTGGTATGAACCCTAAATGTGTGTCATAGATGTTTAATAGCCAAGAACTTATTCTGATCAGTAGAATCGTTTTAATGATGGAATTGGGATTTGACGTACATAATCTGTGAAGGAAGGATAATTTGGCTTTGTTAATCTGAGCTTCCATTGTCCATAGACCTAGGGTACTTAGTACTATTGCTGATGAAGTCCTTTTGCCATATCCCTGGATAGTTTTCACTACGTATTTCTGTGTTATTTCAAGATTGTTTAGTTCAGACTTGGTTAATTTTCCCCATAGTTCTGAACCATAGAGTGCAGAGGGGATTATGACAGTTTTCCATATTTTGACCGAGGCTAGCGGATTCATGGCTCCGTTTCTCATTCCAATTTTATTGAGAGCATGGAATGATTGTTTGGCTTTTTTGGCTATTTTTGTTCGTTCCGATGATCTCAGATCACTCACCATCAAATTGCCAATATATGTGTGTTGATCTGTTTCGTGGATTGTGTCTGGTCCCAATTTCCATTGTCTTGTGAGTTTGTTCTTTAAAATTGACTTCTTTGTTTCAGGATATGTAATTATGTTACTCTTGCTGTCT